GGGGGCCGTCGTGTCTCCCCTGCACCTCCTCTGTCAGGAGGAAGAGGAGGAGGAGCTGCCAGCGCCCGGAGGATACCAGCATTCCCAGTGAAGATACTCCCAGGAGACAAGGATCAGAGGTTTTTTTGGCCAGCGCAGGCCCGGAGGCTCAGCCCAAGCTATTTCTGGAGGAGAATGTGTAAGGGGATATTGCTCCCCGCTGCTGGGGCGGCTTCAAAGCCAGCGAAACATCACCCAGCGCCCGCCGCAGCGGGAATATCTGGGCACATATGGCCACTAGATATAGCTACGCCAACAGCTATAGATAAGCTTCGGGATACCGAAGTCAGCTTTGTTTGTCAGCCTATAGAAAAATATCGACAGAGGAGGACGTAGCTGACTCCTTGTGGGGTTAAGTCAAGCGAGAGCCAGGCCTGGTCTAAAAAAAGTCTCTCTCCCTTCTCTGTTTACCTCCAGGACAAAAGGCAGGGGATTAAGCAGCTCTGTACAAGTCCCGGTGCTGGCCAACCATTAAATATAAGATGGTAAGAAGATTTTATTTTAAGTCACCTCCAGGGCACAATGAAGCCTAAAGTTTCCTATTCTATTCCCAAGCTTTCAGCTCGGAAAGCGGCGTGCGCCGAAAATCTCGGTGAGAGCAAACAAAAGCCTGGGGATCAGCGTGGGCTCGTCGCGCGTCAAAGCTAAAAGCAGTTTCTTTGGATACGGCCGGTTCTGTCATTCGGCCGGGCGGCTTTAACGCGTTTGAACCAGGTGGGAAGCAGCAGAGAGGCGAGCAAGCGGACTGTTTAACAAGGGTTAAACCCACCCAAAACCGCTTTGTATTTTAGTCCCTGACCTCGGTGGCACAAGCGAAATGTTTTATAGGGCGGATCGAGGGGCGAGAGCCGGGGAATCGCTCGGGAGCTGCCGGCAGCAAAGCCACAAGCTCAACTCTTTAACCTGCCTGATACCGCCAGGAGAAACACGAGCGTTTCTGGTTTCACGACCCACCCGTGGTGACAAGTGAGCCTGACGGGACTGAAGAAGAACAACAACAAGTGCTATTATCATTATATTCTTATTTTTAAGTGGGTTTTAAAGCTCTTGGTTATTTATCACTTCTTATGCTTGCTTTCCCTATGGAAAGCTGGATTTCCATCTGCAGAAACAGCCTTCGGCACCGATGCACACCGAGCTTCTTTATTACAGTACTGGGTGCAACCCAGTGACTAAGACAGTACTGAAGTGTTGTTCTTCTTTTAAAAAAACCCCAAGAGCCCAGCATTTCATTTTGATGACAAAAAGCAAGCATTTTTTAAAATACTCAGTGGAGCAGCAACAGCGGGTGGTGCCTCGGCTCCCACACGCCGGGAGAGGGATGTTCTTAACTCGATTAAGGGATCGGCCGGCCTCTTGGCCGTGTGTCAAGCTCTCCAGAGGCATTTCCAGCGCTGCTCCGGCCGGAGAGGAGAAGGGAGGGGAGAAGAGAATATTTCAGCAGAAAGGAGCTGTGGAAAAGCA